GGCCAGGTGGCCGCGGCATGCCCATCGGTGGACGGGTTCGTAGGGTCCGCTCTGAGGTCGGTCGCTAGTGGGACCCCGGGCATCCCTTGTGTCCCTGAAGTGCCGCTTTCTGGAAACGGGGAAGTGTCAGCCTTGTTGTCATTCGCTCCCCATGGCCTCTTTTCACCCTCGATCTCCTCTGCCCCTTCCGGAGATGCAGTGGGCCGAAGAGAGTGGCGCCTGGGGCCAGATAATCTTTCTCACTGGGGTGACCGTGTGACTCTGCTGTGAGTGCAGTTCTGATTCCTTAGAGTTAGTGCCAGAGCGTCTGGGGACAGGGCAGCATCCTCAGGTGCAATGCTTTCAGGAAATGTTCATCCATGAAAGTAGGAAATGCGTGTTTATGTTGCCCAACGTAAAATATCACACTTAACGGGGTGAATTTATTAGGAACCACAGCCAGACTCAGCAGCACAGACATTTTGAAAGGCTCCTAGACTGGGCTGTAGGCTTGCGTTTTAAGTACAGGTATATTTTTAAAACACAACTATGTTGAAGAAGGGGTGAGAAGGGGAGAGACAGCAGTGCAGAAGGTACGTTCTCAAAAACTCTTGGGGTTTATGATAACATAAAAAAGATAGAGGCCCAATTTACTAGGTGTTTTAAAATGGTTTTGCTTTTTTGTATGCTTTGAACTGCTTCCATGAAATAATGGAGTTCTAGGAAATAATGCCTCCTAGGAAAGGATGCTCTTCCCTCTAGCTATGAATTGCCCTATGGGATTTTAGATAGCATTTCCCACTTGATGCTCCTTGCCCTCATCACCATTCATCTTGTTACTACAGTCAGTTTCTGTGGACTACCAAGATAATAGCGCTTTCCCAAACACAAGCACTCATTCTAAGCTGTTATCTTTTAATGTGAATTCTCTTTGTTAAAATGTCAATGTTGTGAGATTTGGTAGCATATTCCTTTTTAAACTAGTGAATATGATTTTGATATGAACCTTGAAAGATGGGGAATTTGAGTGCTTTTAATGTGTTGAAAGTGTAACACTTGAAACTTTGGAGGCTGGGAAATCGAGGAGATGAAGTGTTCTATAAAATAGGTTTTCTGCCCTTTTAGATGTAGTGGTGCTGTCTTTGTTTCCAATTGGAATTTCACTGTAATGCTCTGTTCTCACTTCAGATGCAGAGGAAGGATAAGATAGTGAAGTTGATATGGCTCTGTTCAGCCAGATTTCCGAATCATAAAGGGACACGCTAATAGGATATACTGTGGCATTTCTGTGTATTACAGCTTGTATTGTTTGAATTACTTTTCCACACATAATTTTTTCTCCTCCACACAAGTCATTAAATATGTTTACCTGAGAGATAGTCAAGCTTTGTTTTATAGGAAAGTTTCGTTTGTGGAAATAAATGAGTTTCACTATAAGCTAACTTATTCTATAACGTGAGAAATTGCTCCTTAAAAATATAGAATATTATATGCTTTTGTTTTTCTGAATATTTTTAAAAAGACACATTAACTGTTTCCTATTTCATCCTTCATGGACATCCCACAATAGATTACCAGCCCCGTATTTAAAAAAAAACAAAAACAAAAAAACCCATAAAAACCAAAGACTGAAAACCCCCACTGTGGTTTTTTTTTTTTTTTTTTTTTTGGTATATACTTTGAAATTTATATTTTAAATGAATTAAAAAGTGACACTTTTTATATGTACATTGAAAGACATAAAACTTGATACAGAGAAAGTCAAATTTTAAATTAAGGATTATCAAATTGAATTTGCTATATAGTTCACAGTTTGCAACAAAAATGTTTGTTTCAACAAGAAAAAATTTGAAGTCATTGGCATACATTTAGAGTTTACACTTTTCATAAACCAAGCCAGCATTTTTATTAGTACGTCAGAAACTCCCAGTGAGATTAATATTAATTAAACATAATCAAAAACTGCAGAATTATCTGCTTTTGAATTATCTCCCCACGGAAAACTAGTCCAATAAAATAAAACATGAAAATTATTAACATAAAAGAGAGGCCAGTCTGCCTTAGTAAAACTGAATGCTAGAATTTTTAATGAAGACAGATATGTTTAAAAGTAAAGATGTAAACATAATGCAAAGATATAAACGTAATTTATATTATATCCTTATAGTTTATATCTTTACTAACAAGTAAAATAAGGTAATAAAAACGTGTAACACATGATAAACCTATGCTACATAAAATACCATAAACGTACTTTTTTCATATATAGGAATTATTTTGGGAGGTCCTTAATGCTTTACCTTGGTTTGGAGAGAAAATGTTTTAAAATTGAGTTTGCCTTACAAATGAGATCCTGAAAAATAGCAACCAAAGATATTTTTTCTCAAATGAAGTGGCCATTTCAAAATTATATTACAAATTCTGAACTGATTGGATTAATACCCTTTTACTAGTTTAGTTTTTCCATTATTGCATGAAAAGCATTTTTCTGCTTTAGAAAACAGTCCAGTTGACTTTTGATTGTTCTGTGTTTTGAGGATGTATCTTGAGTAATTTAAGAAATAAAGTGTTTTGGGTTTAAAAACTCCCATGTCTTAAGTTGGTGAAATTTGAAAAGGTATTTTTAAAAAGAGGGATATTCAGGGCTGGGTGCTGTGGCTCATGCCACTAATCCCAACACTTTGGAAGGCAGAGGGAGGAGGATCCCTTGAACCCAGGAGTGGGAGACCAGCCTGGGCAACATAGTCTCTACAAAACGAAAAGACAAAGAAACAAAAATTGGCTGGGCGTGGTGGTGTGCACCTGTAGTACTAGCTATTTGGGAAGCTGAGACAGGAGAATTGCTTGAGCCCAGAAGGTTGAGGCTGCAGTGAACCAAGATCCCGCCCTCACACTCCAGCCTGGGCAACAGAGCGAGACCCTGCCTTAAAAAAAAAAAAAAAAAAAAGTGGGATATTCAGATTTGAATGGTAAATCCTGAGTGATTTAATCCCTTGCCAACTGAGGATATTGATTCCTAAGGGAATCATGTAAAGTTTCTTCATCTGAGTTATGGAATTTTTTAAAAAACAAAAGCAAACTTCCTCTCCATTTCTTTAACTAGTTTTTTAAATGTCTTGAACATTATTTTGATATAATCAAATTGAGCAATGTCATTTACAGAAGAAATTGTTAACTTTTTCTTTTATAACATTTTGGTAACGTATTAATGGAGGGAAGAAAGGTTATGAATAAAGTATAGGACAATGTTTTTTCATTTAGATTTGAATATAGGTGTGACCACTCAGAGAATTCACTACAGATAAAATCATCAGGCTTCATTTGAGGATTCGACTTAGGTAGACTTAGGAAGCTGTCCATTTTCCACATCTCTACTCTTGCTTAGTTGCTTGATGTAACTCACTTCATGCTGAGTTTAGACAGCTCTCACAGTTTCCTCAGCACCAGGTTAAACAGAACTATCCTTTCAAAGAGCTTCCCTGCTGAGATGCAGAGTAGGAGTAAATAGAAGAATGGGAGATGTTCACAAAGCAAGTAATTAAACAAAGTAGGCCAGACAGACTATAGAGGGAGCTGCTTGTCTTTAAGATTACTCTAAGGAACTCTGCTACTTCCTCTAGCTTAGAGAAGATTTTGATAGATCGTTCTAGATGCTGTTAGCCATGAAATCAAACTGTTCAACATAAGAAATTGATAATTCTGAAATGCTATGTAAGTTTACGTAGGTGCTTATTCAAATTATAAATATATTCTCATTGTTTATATTTTATAAAGTTAAATATAAGAAACTACCAGAATAAC